TGGTGCTCAAATGGTTCACAGAAAACAGCTAACAGTCCTCGTCGGTCCTTAACCATCACCTGGCCCCCATGTGGGGATGCCTTTATGTGTCTGCCCCCGTGGCCCACGGCAGTACCGCATTCCTGGAGCCTGAGGCGATGGTGTCCTCCACTCAGGGACAAAGTCTCTGGTCCACGTTTTCTCCAGTCTGCCCAGGAACCGACCCAGTTCCTGATGACCAGACTGTCCAAGCACCTTCCAGCCCCTGCCCCTCATGCCAACCCCCACCCCAGGCCTGGCATGGTGCCTGTCACCCAGGGCCCTGGGGCTGATCTCAGGGAAGCCCAGCTCTAGGGCCAGATGAGCAGAAGCCCTCAATGGACGATGGATGGCCTTGGGGGGGTAGCCCTGTGCCCGCTCTCACCTTGCCATAAAGACCCTGAACCTAAAGAATCAACAGGGCACAAGATCTGTATATTTTTTTTCTAAGAGAAAATGTAAATAAAGGATTTCTAGATCAACGTCTAGACTCATTACTAAACTAGAGCAGGAGTGGGTTTGCATAGCAGCCAGGAAGACTGGCGGGGAGGGCACCTGGGCTGTATGGGACCCCCCGGGAGCAGAGGACGGGAGAAGTGTCCAGAATGCCTCTGTGTCCTGTGAGGTCTGCCCACAGTGTTCCTTCCATCCACATGCCCGTGGCGGCTGGAGACCCTGGGTGCTGGGAGCTATGAAGAGGTAGAGGCTAGGCAACCGGACTGGTGGGGTGGGGAGACCTGGGGCTCCGTGCCAGGCCCAGGGCAGGTCCTGACGGTAGAGGGAGTGTTGTTTCAGAAAGCAGAAGTTTCCGCTGGGGTCAGCACCTGCCCTAACGTGAGGGAAGGAGCAGGGTGCCGATTGGGCTCCTCTTCTTGTGTTGCAGTCGGCACACCTGGGACAGTGAGAGAGGGGCTTGGAGTGAGGGCAGCAAGCCTCAGGACCCAGGCCTGGTCTGACCCCTCACTGGCCAAGGGCCTGTCCCGTCTCCTCTCCAGGATCCATGGTGGAAGGTGGGATACCAATTTGTAAAGCGGTTGTTTTCAAGAGTCGCATGCAGAAAAAGGCAGGTGCCCTTCAGATCACCTGGTGGTCAGTGCCTATTCTGAGGAGAAGGTCTGGGACCCACATGGCTTCATGGCCCACATTCGCCTTGGTGGAAGTTTCTTAGCAAATGGAGCCAGGTTGTTGGAAGTTCACCTCAGCCTCAGCCCCCACGGGGCCCAGCTGAGTGCCCCAGGCTGGTGGAGGGAACATGGGAGCTGACAGACCACAGGGCTCCTTGGGGGTCTCCTCCAAGTGAGCCACTGGGGCTCGAGTCCCGGAGACCAGGGGGCCTGGTATCAGATCACAGCTTGGCCAGTTTCTTGGGCAAGTGACCCAAACCCGTGGGCTTTGGCTTCTGCATCTGCACGAAAAAGGTGATGGATCACAGGATTGGGGTACGGATCTAAGGAGATTCACATATGGGGGTATCTGGTACACTGCCCCCCAACACAGGAGGAGATTTGGGTGTTGTTACCCTTAGCCCTGTCTCCCGGTCTGCCGGCTCTCCTCACAGCCTCTGTTCCCCTTTGGGAGAAGTGGGGGTGGGGCCGCGGCCGGAAGGCTCCTCAGCCCGCCGCTGCAGTCCCTACATCAAAGGTGGGGCGGGCCAGGGAGTGAGACCAGCCCAGGGGAGAGGGTGGGATCTCTCCCCCAATCAGGAGGCTTCCCTCAGCCCAGCCCCTGTGGGCCAGTCCTTCCTGTCGCCAGTGCCCAGCAGCCCTGGCTGGCACTTAACCTGCTGGGGATCAGAGGGCAGGCCCCCTCAGGAGGTCCCGCTGGGGGAGGGGCCACCCCCACCAGGGTCCCTGGGAGAGAGCTGGCCTCCAGGGAGAAGAGTCTGCAGGGATCCTAGTCTCTGTGCCTGGCACTGGGCGAAGTGTTTATGCGCATTATCTCATTTGGGTCTCAACAGTCCCAGGAGATAAGGATTGCTTTTATCTCAGTTTTGCAGATAAGGAAACTGAGGCGCAGGGAGGGTAAGTCAGTAGGGCTCCAACGAGATGCAGGCTCTAAAGCCGCAGAGTGGAAGGCCTCCTCCATCTGGAGCTGAGGCAAGATCTGTGGCCTCCACACGTTGCATGCTCCCACCACCCGACGGCTCCCAAGCCTGGCGTTCAGAATGCCCTGTGTGTCTGGAGGAAATCAGGTTCCTGGGACTACCGTGAGGGCACCCAGAGCCAGAGACCCGCCTGCAGAACCTCGCTCGAGGTCGCACGCGGAGCAGGGAGGGGCCGACTCGAACTCAGGCTGCTGGTTCTGTGCCCAGCACTCTGTGGCGGGTTGACCCCTCAGGACCAGCAGCAGAGGCAGGCCCTGGGGATGGGCAGGCCCTGGGGATGGAGGTCTCCCACCTCCCTCCACCCAGGGGACTCCTCGGAGGCACGTCCTCTACAGTGCAGGGTCAGGAAAGAAATGTCCAGTCACTTATGGAGGGTGATGGGGGTGGATCCCCAGGAAGGTGTGGGAAGACCGGTCTTTCCGGGCAGGGCACAGGCATCAGCCCTTCTCCCTCCCCTGCCAGGCCCGTGGCAGACAGGTGCAGTCAAGAGCTGAACACCCAGAATGGAACCACAGAAGGAGGTGAGGAGCTACTGCTCCTGAGAGGCAGGCCTGAGGCTTCCCTTGCAGAGGCTGAGGACAGGGGTGGGAGATTAGCCCGAGCCCGCTGGGCCCGGTGCCCTCACTCCAGCTGCACCTTGGATGTCTCCCAGGCCACTCTAGCGGGGGGCCTCTCACCTCTGCCTTTGCACCTCCTGGAGGAGTACCTCGTGAGGGGAGCTGGGAGAAGAAGGCTGCCAGATTCTGGAAGCTCTGGAATGCTGCTGGAGAAGGCCAGCTCTCTCTTGGGCTCCACTCCAGCCCTTGCAGGAGGGAGGAGCCGACCTTGGAGCTGGAAGGGCCTGGCCATCCGTGACCCCAGATCTGTGAGAGCCAAAGGAAGGAGATGGGCAGATGCCGTGAGGCTGTGGAGCCAAGACCTATGGAGTCTTCTAGGGAAGGAGAGAGCACTGGACAGGGACTCAGGGGCCTGACATCTCTACCTAGCTGGGGGGCTAGGGAAAGTTGCTCCCCTACCTGGGCTTGTTTCTTCAGCTATAAAATGAAGGGGTGGAGAATATCCATTGAACCCAAACCTGGGAAGGATTTTTTTTTTTTTTAAAGATTTTATTTATTTCAGAGAGAGAGAGAATGAGAGCTAGAAAGCACGAGAGGGAAGAGGGTCAGAGGGAGAAGCAGACGCCCTGCTGAGCAGGAAGCCCGATGTGGGACTCGATCCCGGGACTCCAGGATCATGACCCGAGCCGAAGGCAGTCACTTAACCAACTGAGCCACCCAGGCGCCCTGGGAAGGATTTTCTTAAAGCCCCAGGTTCCTAAGTCCCAACTCAATGCACTGACTCCTGCTCTCAGGGTGGGCCTCTAGAACCATGGGTCTCGGCATGCAGCCGGGTTCGGGAATCACCGGACTGCAGCATCTCCTAGGTGGTGTGGCTCCATTCAGGAATTACTACGTGCCAAGCCTAAGAACCCTGAGGGATAGGGTTTGTTACTGTCCCCACTTCACAGCCAATAAAACTGAGGCTCAGGTAGGTTTCAGAGTTTGCCCAGTTATACCGTGAGCAAGAACTGAGTGGAACGTGCATCCAGGTCAGTCCTGCCCTATACCCATCTCCTCGCTGTGTATGATATCGTGGGAGGTTTCCTTATCCCTCCAGCTGTGGCTGGCAGCCCCTAGGGACGGGAGGCCCGGGGGGGAAGAACCCAAACCCTAGAATGCTAGGGCAAGAAGGCACTGGGTATTATGGGATGAACTGTGTTCCCCCAACATCCACGGTGAAGTTCTAGCCCCCAGGACCTCAGAACGCCAATGTATTCGGAGATAGTGCTTAATAAAGAGGTAATGAAGGTAAAAGAAGGTCATATGGGGGGGCCCTAATCCAGGATGACTGGGGGCCTTAACAGAAGTGATAAAGCCAGGTGCACAGACCGCAGTGTAATTATGCCGAGGGCACAGAGAGAAGGCGGCCATCTGCAAGCCAAGGAGAGACGCTGCAGAAACCAACCCTGCTGACACTGATCTTGGATGCTAGCCTCCTGAACTGTGAGAAAATTGTATTTCTGTTCTCCAAGCCACCTGATGCGTGCTTATGGCAGCCCCATAAACAAATACGCCGGGCCTCGCCTTTGGAAGCGAACCACCCTGCATCCTTTAAAAAACACTTCCCTAGAATTGTGAAAGAGCCCTCCGGGTCGGCGGGAATACGCTCAGAGGAAGGGACAAGGTAGTGGTGCTGGGTTGGAGGCAAGCGAACAGGCCCAAACGTTAACCCCCACCTGTGCCACCTCACACAGCAAGGCCAAGTGGAGCCCCTGGAGGTGAAGACTTGTCACAGTGGCACGGGAGGGCACACACCAACCTCAGGAGGCCCGGACCCGGGGAGGGGAAGAGCAGAAGGATGGTTCCCTGCAGGATGGGAGCAGTCTTCCTTTTCCAGAGGCAATAAAAACCCAGGTTGATAGAAGAAAAACAGACCAAACCAACATTTTTGTTGTTGTTTTTTTAAGAAGTACAAAAATCGAAGCGTACAGGCTTCTCTCCCCCCTCCGCCACTCCCAGAATGCACTCCACCAGCGGTCCCAGACCCGCCGACTCTGTGGTCCCGCAGCCAGCACTTTGCTGCAGCTCAGCCGGTGTTCTGGAGAGACGGGTCATTGGGGCGGGGGGTGTCTAGGAGCGGAGGGCACTCCCCCAGCCCAGACTCCAGCCAGGGAGGCCACCCACTCTCTATTTCGAACACTGCCTCTCTGGGAAGGACATCACTTGGAAAAGAGATCCTTGGCTTAAAAAAAGCTTGAAGACCACAGCAAGTAGCAAATGAGGAGGACACTCCACACCAGAGGCCTGATTCCTGGCTGACAAGGGGACAGGCGAGGCTATCAGTAGAAGACGCCCAGGTGGGCCCCCCCCAGATCTTCTTGCCAAAGTTCAGGGCAGCCACTGAGCTGCAGGCCTGAGCTTTGGGATGGGCTTTGGTCACCGGGCTGGAAGGCAGGGCCTGGTCCCTGGTCCTCTGAGCTGGGGAGCTCCTCTGCACTGTGGCTCCAGCATCCCCACTGGGTCTGAGGCTGGAGTCTCTGGCATGCTGGGTGGGACAGGAGGGGTGGGGTTTCTGGCAACACACAGGACTCTGGAGACACAGAGATACCCTGCAAGAGAGACAAAAGCAGCTGGTTAGTGGGCCACTGCCTGATGCCCTGAGACCTTGAACCTGGATGCTCCCCGGAGCGTGGCTGGCAGCTTCTGGACAGCCCTGGGTGTCCTGGAAGCAGTGAAGCAAAGTGGTGAAGAACAGTGGCTCTGGAGATACACTCCGGGGGTTCCTATCCCACCTCTGCTACTAACTAGTTTTAAGAACATAACCTCTTTCATTCGGTTTTCTCATCTGTAAAATGGGGGTGATGATAACAGTACGTACGCTATAGAGTTGCTGGAGGGCCGGCTGAGTTGATACATGTACAGTGCCCAAAACGGTGATGGGCAAACAGTACGCGAGCAGTAAATTTTGGTTATTGATGTGCTCTCTTTTATGGACCATGACTCATTCACTCCTGGGCCTCATGAACAAATGAAGCTTAAAGGAAACAGGAAGGTCACCAGCTCCAAGCCCCTATACTCTGGAAGTCCCCACCCCTGGGGCTGGCCAGTCTCCCTCCCCCCAAACTTTAATGGAGCACTTAGAACCAGGGGCTCTTGCTACCTTTCATCTTGCCTCTGGAGCAAGTCCGAGGATTCCCCCTCTTTAACGTGGCTGAAGACTTCTAGGTAGAGGTGGTGGTGGACTTAATGGCCCGGGGCCCCAGCTCTTTCCCCAAAGAGGTTAGGGTCCTCTCCATACTCCCTTCAGCTTCTCTCTAACCCTAACTGGGTTGGATTAGATAAACCCAGATCTAAAAAGCATGAGAATCTCTGCAGACTAGAGCCCACCCACTCCCTCCATTTCCGAATGAACCTGGGACCACCCCGAGAGGAGTGGCCCGGGCCTGCGCGCATACCTGATACACTACAGCCAGCTCCCGGGCCGCGGGGGGCGGCGTCCAGGGCACGGCCTGGTTCCTAGGTTCCGGGGACGTCTGCGTTCTGGAACAGGCCTGGGGCGGTGTCCAAAGGGCCGTCTCAGGGGCTCCCCCTTGGGAGAGTTGCGGGGGCGACTGCATCCCAGGGCAGTAAGGGGGTGTAACCCAGGGATCCAGTTCGGGCACCCTGCTCCCCAGGCGCTCGGGCGCCGCTAGTGCTCCGGGACAGGCCGGCGGGGACCCCCACGACGCTGCGGCGCCGGCGGCAGAGCCCACGCCCGGGGCGCGCGGCTGCACCTGCACCTGCGTCGCCGCCTGCGCGGGGCCGCCGTCGGGGCAGAGCGGGCAGCCCCGAGGCGCCGCCGCCGCGTCGCTGCGCCGCCGCCGCCGCCGCTGCAGGCTCTCCTCGCTGAGGCCCAGCACGGCCGACAGGTGGCCGATGTAGCGGATGGCCAGGCGCAGCGTCTCGATCTTGGTGAGGCTCTGGCCGGCGGGCGCCACGGACGGCGGCAGAAAGCGGCGCAGCTCGTGCAGGGCGCGGGCGAGCGTGCGCATGCGCAGCTTCTCGCGCTCGCTGGCGCTCTGCCGCTGCCCGCCAGCCGGCCCGCTGCGGCCTCGTCCGGGAGCCGTTGGGGCGGCCTCTGCGGAGCGGGCGCCGCGGGCCGGGAGCGCGGGCTGCGAGGGGTCGCAGGGGCACGAGCCCGAAGAGTCCGAGGAGGAGGCCGGGGACGTGGAGTCCGGGTGGCCGGCCCAGCCCCAGCCCTGGGGCAAGATCCAGTGGTCGTGGCCCAGAAGGCTGTGCAGAGGAGGGGACTGGGCCATGGCCGGGGCTGCTGCAGGCTCTGGGAGGCTGGGCCGGCCACCTCCAGGCCTGAGCTTTTATCTGGACCAAAGGTGAGAGGTGGCCCCCTGCCAGGTTACAGAGAGGTGTCAAAACCCACAGAGCCCAGGGAAGGCCTGGGCAGGGGGGCCTTGGGAAAGCGGGCCCATTTGCGGAGGTGTGGATTCTGACTCCTCGGGGGCTCTAATGGAGGCCCCTGCAGCCCGGGAAGTGTGGGAGGGACAATTCGCATCTGGATGGAGCTGCTAAGCTTCTCACCGAGTTCCCACCCACCCGGGCTCGTGGCATGGTGAGTGCCCAGGAGCCCGACAGTGGTGGGCAGTGCCATCATCGTCTGGGGACGGCCAGGCTGTCCCTCATGTGAACAGTGGACCCATGCAAAGAGTGGCCACCTCTCTCATCTCCACCTTCCCCGCCCCGGGGAGGGTGGGAGCTTGTCCAGTAACTGCCACTCACTGTCTGCAGGTGTGCTGGATAAGGCTGCAAGACAAGCCCCGAGGGATTTGCCCACAGTGATGTGGGGTGGGGTGGAAGTAGGGGGACATACAAGTGCAGCCTTCCTGGTTTGCTCCCAGAACGCACGTTTGCTGGTTTGCTGAATAACACGAGCAACCTCATCTCACTACCCACAGATAGGTTCCGTCCCTGAAAAACAGAGCAGCCTGGAGAAAAAAGATAGGAAGTAGTGGGTGATGAAAATGGGGGAAGGTGAGCCCTCCAGGCAGGCCTGAGTCTATGTGCTGTGTGACCTGGGGCAAGTTACTTACCTCCGCTGAGACTCAAGTTTCCTTCGATCTCACCGCAGTAATACTACAAAATGCCCACCACCTGGGAAGGCTGCTGGTACTAAGTGGAACCATCAGTGTGGGCCTGGCAGGTGAGCTAAATGTTTGCTGCTATCATTTCATAAGGAAGGTACTTACATTTCAAGATGCTGTAGGCATTACTCATTTACTTCATATTTATTTAGCAACTGGTAAAGGTCAGGCACACCACCGTGACACAAGTTAGTTGTGGTCTTGGCTCTCATGACATTTGAAGTTCGTGCTGAGAGACAACAAGTGAACAGACCATTATACATTTAGTAGCTCCATCACTAACTGGCTCTGTGCCCTTGGGCAGGGCCCTTAACCTGTCAGAGCTTGAGCTTGTGCTCTATAAAACAGGAATAATGATTATAGTATCGACTCGTAGGACTGTTATAGTCTCATAGTATAAACTTGGAGATAGTAAAAGCTCTTCTCAGCAGTTTATTACAGCTTAAGGGAGGCATCTTCGGAGAAAGGGCTGAACTCCGAGGCTAAGGGCCAAATGAGGGCCAGGGGCTGTAGAGTTCTGGCCACAGAGCTGGAGAGGTCACCACTGGGCCTTGAACCATGAGTAGGACTTGGTTAAGGAGAGACGCAGGTAGGGAGAATTCTGGCCATGGGAGCTGCTTAAGGAAAGGCCTGGCAGTGGGACTTGCTGAGGGGCTTCTGGAACAGTGCACAGGGGTGCTGATGTGGAGAGCTGGAGCACAGCTTGGCTGGGGCCAGGCTAAGAAGTTGGATGGCCAGATGGACCTTGGAGCAGAATTGTGACCAAAAAAAAACAAAAAACAAAAAACAGGCAATCGGTAACAAAAGTTCAACATGATGATGTTTCTGGATTCTGGGATAGATTGGCCTGTATCAGCTTGAAGTAATAAATAGTGGCCTTGTAGTATTTGTGGGCGCTCCTAAAAACAAACATTTAGTCGCACAAATTACATAATGAATACATTCTCTTTGGCAGCAGTGGGAACATTACAGGTAAACCTGAGGTCCTTCAGCAAAGAGCAGCTCTTAGGTTGTTATGTGCCCCTCCACGCCGGGCCCGCACGCTCACCTGGACGTATGTAAATGAGGGAACATTGCGGCCTGTTTGTAAGTTTTCTTTTTTTTAAAAAAGGTTTTATTTATTTGAGAGAGCACAAAAGCACATGAGTGGGGGGGGCAAAGGAAGAGGGAGAAGTAGACTCCCCACTGAGCATGGAGCCTGACGGAAGTGTTGGGGGGAGGCAGAGGGAGAACCCCAAGCAGGCTCCACGTCCAACACCAAGCATGACGAGGGGCTCGATCTCATGACCCTGAGATCATGACCTGAGCCAAAATCAAGAGTCGGACGCTTAACCGACTGCACCACCCGGGTGCCCTGTCACTTGCTTTGTTTCATTCAACAGCATGTCTTAGAGCACTCCCCATCAGGAGATGTTGAGCTGACTCGTAGAGGGTCATGGGTGACTTAAATGGATGAACATTCAAACATTATACGAACATTAGAGCAGATCATTTTAACTGGAAAAAAAAAATGGCAGGAGGTGCAGACAAACCTTCAATGAGGAGATGACCTCACTTTCTGCTCAGGACTTATTTGTTATTTATTTATTTTTATTTATTTGACATAGAGACAGCACAAGCAAGGGGAGTAGCAGAGGGAGAGGGAGAAGCCGGCTTCCCGCTGAGCAGGGAGCCCGATGTGGGGCTCCATCCCAGGACCCCGAGATCATGACCTGAGCCGAAGGCAGACGCTTAACCAACTGAGCCACCCAGGCGCCCCTCAGGACTCATTTTTTAAAATACCAGAGAAAATATGCCCAAGTCACCACTTTAGCATGATGATGAAGGAATAATTGGCATTGAACCATGTCGTCAGAGCAACCCCTGTTTAGTTTATTCTAGCTGCCGTGAATGAGGAGAGGAAATTTCTAATTTGTCCATAGCACAAAAAGAAGGTAACAACCGTGGCCTTGAATCCAAATAGGCTTTCTCTGGAAAGAAGCAGGAAGTTATGCAAGTATTTCATGACTTGAAAGGATTTTTTTTTTTTTAAGATTTTATTTATTTATTTGACAGACAGCGAGAGCAGGAACACAAGTAGGGGGAGGGGAGAGGGAGAAGCAGGCCTCCCGCCGAGCAGGGAGCCTGATGCGGGGCTTGATCCCAGGACCCTGGGATCATGACCTGAGCCGAAGGCAGATGCTTAATGACTGAGCCACCCAGGTGCCCCCATGACTTGAAAGGATTTACACCAAGTTAAAAAAATTTTTTTTTTCCTAAGGGTGGTGGGACTTAGAGAACAGTCAATCCTACACTTTTTAGGTTGAACTGATGGCTGTACTGGCTAGGAATTGATTTACATGTAATTGACATTTGTAAACAAAATCCATCTGGTTTCTTGTATGTTTCTTGATCTGGATTCTGAAGTTTCAGATTAATGTGCTGTTGATATTAAGTTGGTTTTTTTTTAAGATTTTATTTATCGGAGCGAGAGCACAAGCAGGGGGAACAGCAGGCAGAGGGAGAAGCAGACTCCCCGCTGAGCAAGGAGTCCCCTGATGCGGGACTCGATCCCAGGACTCTGGGATCATGACCTGAGCCAAAGGCAGACGCTTAACCCATTGAGCCACCCAGGCGTCCCGATACTGAGTTTTCTGACTCACCCCCTTTAACTGTTTTAACTGTTCTATGGTATTATAGCGCGTGTACCCCAGTCAAGCCCTTACTGATGTATCTTTAGTGTGTGTTTTAGTTTTTGCCAAATAGCACTGCCTTGTGCACAGGCAGGTAGACCTGGAGAGGTGGAATGGCCTTGCGATCTCCAGGAAGGGTCCGAAAATCCAGAATTAGAGCCAGCCTGGAGGGGTTTCCTATGAGAGGACTTGGTGAATAATGGGAGTCCACCACCAGCACAGAGCCCTGCTTACTCTCCTTTCCTCTCTAGGATAGCCTGGCCTCCTGTCTTCGTTTGGGCTAGCCCCAGAGCCCAGGCCTCAGACTAACTGGGATGACAGAGCATAATTTTGGGAAGGTGGGGCCCTGGCTCTTCACCAGGCCTCTCAGCCAGGCTCTGGAAGCACAGGGACACACTGTCTACCATCCCCGTTCGCCGGGGGGGAAGCCGAAGTGGATCCTCCCATTGGGCCTCCACTTAGCACAGGGAGGTAGTGTCACTGGATGGTGAAGAGGCTGGGCTATGGAATCAGACTGACCTGGGTTTAGATCCCAGTTCCACCCCTTCTAAGCCGTGAGGACTTGGGCTACTTACTCAGCATCTGTTTTCCCTTCTGTAAAGTGAAGGGTTCTGATTTCCAGGGTGATTGTTGGCGTAAGTAAGGATCATGCATGTCATAGTGCTTAGCACAGAGCCTACATTTATAAGTCTTGCGTATAGTAAATTCAGGGGCAGCAGAATGAAGTAGGTAAAGGACTAGGTTGGGGTGTGGGTAAGGGGGCTGGTCTCTTAGTCTTGGCTCTAGAAGAAGATGATTCCTTCCATTCCTGAGATTCCGGCACCAGGCCTAGTGCATCCTGCCCGAGCCCCCTCCTCCACCTGCGGCCCTTTTCCTCTGTGGACCCAGCACAGGGGTCATCCTCAGCAGGGCACACCAGCCCCTGGCCTTTGGCAGGGGCCACCACAGCTGCAGCGCAGAGGGGACAGGAGAGCTCAGATGCCTGGAGCTGGAACCGAGCCCACCAGCCCAGCCAAGGCTATAGGAAATGGACGATCTCAACCCGCCTCTCCTGGTGGGCTGCGTCCTGGCCCAGGTGCTGGTCCAGCTTGCCTCTGGGACCCTCAAGCATTCCTCCCTCTATGTGGGAAGCCCCAGGTGCTTGGTGAACAAGCCGGGTCTGGGCCCTGCCCCACGGGCGGCTCTCCTCTCTTCCTCATCCAACTCTCCTGTTAAAAGGAGGGACAGCTACAGCTGTATGCTCTTGGACAAGGTGATTAACCTCTGGGCCTCGGCAGGCTCCTGGCGTGGGGCTCACCCCCTCCTTCCTGTGATGGGAGGAGGTGGTGGTTAGGTCAGGGAAACATGGTCCATAGAATGTTCACGAGCCTGGCAGACCCTTCTAGTTGCACACACAGCATCAGTTACAGCCTCTATTCTTACATCTTTTTTAATAATAGGACTGTATTATTGTGGGTGGCAATATGCCCAGCTAGAAAACACATCCCAGCCTCTCTTGCTCACGGAATGGCTAATGAGGTGTTAGCGGAAATATTGGATGGGGCTTCTAGGAAAGCTCTTTAAAGCAGAGAGGTACGTTCCCATGTTTTTCTACCCCCTTATATTTTCTTCCTGGAAAATGTGATGGCTGGAGCTTCAGCAAGCATTTGGTGACACTGAAGCAGTCCCAAGGACAGAAGTCATCCGCTGAGGATGATGGAGCAGACAGAAGCCCGAGGCACTGATGACAACATGGAAGCACCATACCAGCTCAGGACTGTCTAGCCCTGAATTTCTTTAATGTGAGAGAAAACAAATTACCAGTTTGCATAAGTCATTGACATTTGGGTGTGTTTGAGCAGCCACACATAATTCCTGTCCGTGTAATAAAGAAGTGCCAGGGTATCCTTGTCAACAAATAGGGCCATGTAAGCCGGATGACAGTTGAGTGAGTTCATAACAGATTTGATGTTCCCACAGATGAGTGGATGGGTGTTCACCTGAAGGAAGGTCACGGTGATGGTGCCACCAGCTCTATTCCCAGCCTCGTCAAGGGCATCGTTAGGATCTTGAATGAAGATATGCACTGATCTAATTTGGGGTATGGTCCAGATGCAGCAAGTGAATTGGATATAACAGGCAGGATCGCAGAGAGGCTGACAGGCTCGGACAGCCTACCAGAGCTACTGAGTCGGGGTCAACAGAGCTCCATGCAATCTCCCTCTTAGTTCCGGGTCAGGTGGCATGTAACCGGCAGCACGCCTGAAAAACGAAGGTGATCCCGTTTGCGAGAAATGGGGTCTTCAACCAAGGAGGTGACTGTCTCTTATTCCCTCTGCAGGATGGGCCTTGGCCAGAGTAAGTGGTCAAATGTGGGGGCCACCATTCATGATGAAAGGAAACAGGCCCTAGCCAAGGACAGCAAGGTTAGTGACAGCTTCAAGCCGGGTCACCGGAGAAATAGTCGAAGGACTCAGGGATGTTTTGTTCACAAAACAAAAACTTCGGGGTAGGATGGTTGCCTCCAGGTGTCTAGAAGGGAATACTCCAGGAGGACTAAAGAACTTCCTAAGATCAGTAGGGGTGTCTGGTGAGGGAGTGAGTGGCCTGTTTGTGGAGGTGATCAAGAAGAGGCCAGACGAGTACACACTAGGCACAGGCAGCAGCTGGAGTGGATGGCTGTGCCTGACTCTACCTATGCTGACAAGCCCCCTAAAACGAGGGGGTTGACGACCCCTGAGGTACAATCAGAGCTGAGGCCAAGAATCAGGGAGAGGATGGGGCGGCCTCAGGGCTCTGGACTCTGGGAGGGCAAGGAGCCACGGGGGCCCCTTCAGGCTGTCTTGGGCCAGGCTGGGGCTGCACCCCGAGGCCTCCCAGGTGCCTCAGCACCCCTGACACTCTCACCCCTGTTCTGTGTGCCTGAAGCCCTGGCTCAGCTGGGCCTCCTCATGTGTAGGCGGGAACCATCAGGTCACCGTGCCCTTGGCTCGGCTTGCCAGTGCGGCCCCAGTCAGGTGTCAGTGATCCTTTCATACAGGTGAGGAGGCTCATCCTCCCCTATCGACTTCCTTGGACTTTGCCCCAGGCCAGCAGTCAGATGAGAAGGGCAGAGAGGCCCAGGTTGGACCCTGACTGTGCTCAGTCAGCTCGGGCCCTGCGAGAGGCTGCGGGAGGCCAGTGACTGTGGCCCAGCCTGCTCCTGGTGACTTAGCACAGGCCCCACCGTCTGTTCGCCCCCAGCCCCACTCCTGGAAGACCTCCACCTGCTATTTCTCCCTGGACAGGCCCAAGGACCTGGAGCCAGGTGAAGGCCTGGCCTCTGCCCTCTAGGTCATCTTTGCCTCCCCCCCGCCCCCCGGCTCCCTGCCAGGCCCTGGGGGTGGCCAGGCTGTGGGAACGTGGGAGGGAAGGAGAGGCAGGGTGCACGGGGGCTGCAGCGGCGTGTGGTATTCTCATTACCAGGGAGCAGTAAGGGCCAGCCCAGCCTCCCCCTTGGCCACTGTGGCTGCCTTCACACCTCCTCTCTGCCTGTTGACACAAGGCCACCTCCCCCAGGGCAGAAGGTGTCGACTTGGGAACGAGGGTGTTCGGGGGCCTCCAAAACAGTCCAGCAGCAGGTCCTCTCAGAAAGCCCTTCTGGGGTGGGGGTGGGAGGCTGCAGGTCCCCACCCTGGGAGGCCCAGGGAGGAGGTAGGGCCTGTGTCCCGGGGATGGGCGGGGGAGGACGGGAGCCCCGAGTCCACCTGCCCAGTTAGTCCCCTCTCTTGGCTCTGGGGGCTGGTGCTTGACAAGGCCCTGCCTGGCAGAGTGCCGTCAGTGTCACCAGCAGGCCCAGAGACCGAAGCCACCAAGGCAGGGTCACCCTGACAGGGCCTCGTGACTGCCCAGTCTTCTGAGCACTTCGAGACTCTACAGTGCCCAACACTGTGCCGGCAGTAACCGCGTCAGTGCTCAGACCCCATGATCCAGCCCATGGTTCGCCCTGCGTGGGATGGGCCAGGCCCAGAGAAGTCGGTTCCTTGGCCTTCATTCCCCAGAGTCAGGATTCAGACCCACAGAGGCCAGGAACCACACCATGGGGAAGCTGCCCCGGGACGAGGGATGAGCCCTCTGAGACTTCAGAACTTGGAGGGGGGGAAAGAGAGCTTCGGAGTCTGCGGTGACGTGGTGTGCGGGGAGCCCAGGACCACAGAGGGGCACGACCCGGGCGGAAGCGGGGGACCCGGAGTTGTGGGCGTTCTCCAAGCGGAGGTGCGGCCGTCCTGGCAGAGGGACGAGGTGGGAGCCCAGGTACGGGAGCAGGCAGCCCGGCACCGGTCTGGGGAGTGCCGGTGGGCTGGGGTCCGCCTGGAGGGGTGGCAGAGGCTGTGGGCTAGCAAGCAGGAGGAGGCAGGGGTTGGAAAGGCTACCGGGTGAGGAGTTTGGACTCTCAGGGAGGGAGGCAGTGAGAGCCACAGACATTCTGAGGAAGGAGGGGGCCGGAAGGTGAGGAAACCACAGTCACACGTGTGAGGGCTGGCAGGGGCTGGGCGTGGGCCGAGGAGTCGAGGCCGAGAATGTGGACACGGGCAGGAGGGACACGGCCCCTGTGGGCTGGGAGAGGCACAGGAGGGGCTGGGGCCACAGGCGTCCGGGGAGCTGCCCAGCCGGCCAGGGCCACGCAGGTGGACCCGCTGCTCTTCCTCCAACAAGGAGGCTGCACCAAGGAGGCTGGTGTGGGAGGGCCTGCAGAGGCCCCAGGACTGCCTGGGCTCCATCCCTTGAGCCTCTGTCTCATCTATGAAATGGGCGTCCTTGCTGGGAGGATTAGCTGGAGCATCGTGTGTCCAGCATGTGGGACTCCAGCAGTCTTGCCTGTCTGCCCGGCCGGAGAGAGGTGACCGCCTGTGCTCCTGCAGCTCTCAGGAAGGACAGAGGGGGAGAGGGAGTGGCGTGCACTCCTGCGGCCCAGGCTCCTGGCCCCAGAAGCCACCCGGGGGCTTGGGCTCACCTGCTGGAATGCAAACAAGTTTGGGGTGGTTCTGCAAAGTGTTTTTCCTCCCCTCTCCTCTCCCCCTCCCTGCCCTCCTTTTCTTTCTCTTATTTTAGTTATCAAAGCAGTGCATGCTCATTACAGGAAAGTGAGAAAATGTAGACAATCAGAAGGAGTTTTAAATGCCCCTGGTTCCATCCACCCAGAGAGAACCAGGTTAACAGCGGGTTGGCACTGGGTTAGCACATATCCCTGCATCCTAAGCTTCTCCAGGCAGCCCCGCAAATACACAAGCACAGAGGTAGAGGCATCGAGAGGGAGCATGTCGGGGTGTTTTCTGTTTTCTGTTTTTTGTTTTTCCATTTCTTGAAGTTTCTGGTATATATATATATATTTTTTTAAGACTATTTTAGAGAGTGTGCGTGTACGTGGGGGGAGGGGCAGAGGGAGAGGGAGAGAGCACCTCAGGCAGACTCCCTGCCGAGCGGGGACACAGGGGCTCCGATCTCACGACCCTGAGATCATGACCTGAGCCGAAATCAAGATGACGCTTAACCGACTGAGCCACCCAGGCGCCCAGCTTTACTGAGAGAGAATTCACACATCATGTGTTCACCGGTGTAAAGTGTACAATTCAGTAGTTTCGTATATTGCATTAAAAAACTGTTTTAAGGGGCGCCTGGGTGGCTCAGTCGTTAAGCGTCTGCCTTCGGCTCAGGTCATGATCCCGGGGTCCTGGGATCGAGCCCCGCGTCGGGCTCCCTGCTCCGCGGGAAGCCTGCTTCTCCCTCTCCCACTCCCCCTGCTTGTGTTCCCTCTCTCGCTGTGTCTCTCTCTGTGTCAATTAAATAAGCAAATAAAATCTTAAAAAAAAAACTGTTGTAAAATATATATAACAAAATTTGCCATCTTAACCATTTTTAAGTGGCGTTAATTTCATCCACAGTGTTATGTAGCTATCACTTCTTTCCACAGCTTTCCATCACCTTGAGTAGAAGCACTGTACCCATTAAGCAGTAACTCCTTTTACCCCCCACCCCTGGTGACCTCTCTGCTGTGTCCCGTCTCTGCGAATCTGCCTCTTCCAGGTGCCTCGTGACATGGAATCACACAGCGTGCGCTCTGTATATGGCTTACTTCATAATGCCCTCAGGGTTCGTCCACGACTTCATTCCTTTCTGTGGTTGATAAATACTCCGGTGTACACGTAGACCACATTCTGTTTATCCATTCATCTGTTCTAGAACCTGCTTTCAAGTTCTTTGGGTATGAAAAGAGCATATTGTTTTGAGACCAACTTTTCTCGTGAATGTATTAACATTCCCCATATCAGTAGATGTATTTTTTTTTTTTTTTTTTTTAAGATTTTACTTACTTATTTGAGAGAGATTGTGTGTCCATGAGCAATGTCAGGGGAAAAACAGAGGGGGAGAGAGAGAATCTCCAGCAGACTCCCCACTGAGCGTGGAGCCCAATACGGGGCCCAGTCTCATGACCCTGAGATCATGACCTGAGCCGAAATCAAGAGTCAAACGGCCAATGGGCTGAGGCACCCAGGTGCCCCATCAGTAGATGTATTTGTGCAATGAGATGCTTAGAGCACGCCTGGTTCTCCATGATGTGGTGGCACTTTTGGTAATAAGTTCTCTAATACACACTGAGGTGCCTTACGGCTTTCCGCATAGCGACATCCTTATACCTAGATTTTTTAAAGTTATTTTTAAGTTGCACATGTACTATATGAATGCAAACTCCTTTTGAAAAATTTAAACATTACAGATGAGATTAAAGTCTCCCCTGGGGGCGCCTGGGTGGCTCAGTCAGTTAAGTGTCGGCCTTCGGCTCAGGTCATGAGGCCAGGGTCCTTGGATCGAGCCCTGCGTCTGGCTCCCTGTTCAGCAGGGAGTCTGCTTGTCCCCCTCCCTTTGCTCGTGTGCACTCTCTGTCTCTCTCTCTCTCTCTCTCAAATAAAATCTTAAAAAAAAAAGTCTCCCTTGTCCACCTCCCAGAACCCAGACTTGCCCCCCACCACACACACACGCCAAGTAAGTCCTGGGACATTGTTAGAAATTACATGAGGGCCCTGAGACCCTTTCTGCACACGTACATGCATGCGTACAGTGGACCCTTGTAATATGCATGGTATCACTGGATGCCTTTCTGTGTAGGGCTTGTGTTCCAGATCTGTGTTCTCTTTGTTCGTGCATCTATCAGTGGTGTGCTGCTGAACAGATTTTTTTGCAACTTGGTTCCACCACTCAGCAGTATGTCTTCACGTGTGCCTTTAATCTTTTCTAACCAGAATGAATTCCCATCGGGGAAACTGCTGGGCAGAGGGTACGCGGAGGCTGTTCTGAAGTTGCAGGCCAGCCTTGGGGAGCCCTGGAGGTGGGCTGTCGAGGCTCACCTGGTTTGGGGTGCCCTCACTATCCTGGCTGCCTGCACCGTGTCAGGTGCTGTGTGCACACTCCCATGGCTGGGGCTGGGGCACGATCTCCAAGGGTGAAGAAACTCACTTGGCTCAGGCCAGGGGCTGGATCTTGGATTTCTCTTGGTGGGGGAACCTCTAGAACTGAGGTTTGAGTTCATCCTTTTGCAAATAACCAGTCCTGACCACGTAAGACCCTTCTCCTGGATGATTTTGTATCTGGTCAATTTAAGCTCTGTCCCCCTAGATGTTCCCCCCTGTGTTCGGGGACATCCCTGGCCCCCAGCCTCTGGCAAAGAATCCTCTGCCCAAAGGCTTCTCACTCCCCCACGTCCCAGCCAGGTGTTCCAGCTCAGTCCTAGGAGCCCCCACTCTGCTTTTTATTGGGCCTGAAGTCAGATAGCTCTGGGGCGCCCTCCTTCCCCTGCTCCCTCTGCCCTTGGAGTTGGCTGAGGGCCTGAGCCACCCACTGACCTGGCAGGGGGCTCATCACTGTCTTGGCACCTCACCGGGCTATTGTGAGCAGTCAGCACAGGCAGGGGTGGTGTTACAAGGAGCCCACAAGCTGTGCATCCTGCCTGGAGGAAGCTCCACCTTGTGCTTTCTGCAGGGGCTGGTATCGGATGTGTCCTAAGTTGGCAGCTGAGCTGGACCTGCATATCCTTACCGGGGACTAGGCAACGGCACAGAGCCCAAGGCATCCCCTGTCTAGAGTTTCCATCATCTTGGGGTCTTTTTTCAACCTTTGCTCCCAGGAGTGCATAGGGAAGGTCAGGGCCCCAGGGAGCCCTGCTTGGGCCCTACCTCCTGACCCCTTCCCCTTCTCATTCCTCTGGGCTCTATCTTGCGCTGCTTCTCTGCACACAGATGCATGTTTTTCCCAGTGGACAGATGAGCACACAGGGCTCCAGCAAGGACAGGTGGCCTGTCCAGGAGTCACACAGCCCATCACTCTGGCACTGAGCTGGCTTCACCCACTTTTTTTTTTTTTTTTTTTTAAGAAAAGAAGCTAGTTTCGTGTTTTTTTTAGGAGTCAGTGGAGTCCCGTAATGGGCCCCAGGGGCAAAGGTCGGCCCAGGGTAAGGCAAGTCCAGGAGGAGGCCCAGCCTGCCCTCTGACAGTCCTGGGGCTCAGAACAGGTGGTGAGCCTGGCATGGTTTGCTACTGGGCTGCAGGCCCGGCTCATGTGGGAAGGTGGAAGAGTGAACCTGTACCCCCTCAGCTGTCCCCGAGGTTACACAGGCCCAGCAGCCCGACAGGCCGACCCTCAGTGAGGCAGGAGCCCTGCCTGTGCCGGACAGCAGTTTGCAGTCATGGAAAGTAAACTGAGGGGGCCGCACTCCCCAAGCAGCATGAGAAAGCACGGCGACGTAGGTCGGGCAGCCTTTAGCCCCTAAATGGAAGCCTCTGCGCCACAGCCCACACCTGGCAGCATAGAAGGGAGCGAGGCCAGAACAAAAGCTTCCCATGGCCCTCCGCAGGCAAGAACGGGGTCAGTGGGAGCAAGGGCTGACGTTGCTTGGCTTCCCCCACTTCTGAAGCCAGCCCCTACATCTCCGGTGCCTGGTGCCCACCACCCCACCCCACCCAGGCCCTAGCCCTAGAACAAAGGCCCCGGACTTGTTGGAGGTTGGTGTGCCCTGCTCAGATCGCTCAAGCCCAGGTGGCTGGGCAGTGCCCCCTGCTGGTGGTGGCTGGGAATTCGCGGACACTGGTCCATACTGGCTGACCCAGGGGTCCACCCTCTGGCCTGAGATGGGAGCCTTCCAACAAGGCATACAATCTCCCAAAACATCTCAGCAGGCGGTCGGGAGTTCTGGGCTCCATTTTACAGTTGGAGAAACCAAGGTGCCATGTGACGGGTTCCCCCAGCTTCCCGTTCGCCTGCCT